ATGCCCAGGTCTGCTGACTTTGGGCCAGCGCTCTGCATGGGGCTGGGCACAGCCTCTGATACAGAACCCTTCTCTGGAGTGCCTTCTGACCACTTGTGGGCCAGCTTGAGCAGCTCCTCACCAGTAGTAAAGCCCACCAGGTAGTTGGAGTCCATGTGGAGAATCTGGTATCCTGCAACAGTACCCCTGATGGGTGAACATGGTGTGCTGGCACAGCGAGGCCTCTCAGCTTCTGGTTTTAATGTGGCTTTGATCTCAGCTGCAGGAAGAATGGAGACATGTGCCCTGGACACTCCACTGATATCCATTTCCATCCTTACAGACATATCCAGACTGTTGAAAGGTAGAGAAAATAACATCACAAGTCACTCTTGTGTCTGGGAGCAGTCCAGCAGTCACACATTACACATTCACTAAACATCTTATGGCATAAGACCCATCTGCTCCTAAATGGCCAACTTTAAAATTCCTTTATCGGCCAGGTGTGTTGGACACACGAGGAATTTGACTCTAGTACAATGGCTCTCAATGTGTATGTACAATGTTCTTCCATAAGGCAATGAGTAGATGGGTGCACAGGGTGCCCATTATTTTGGTGGAGAGCATTGCTCAGGTAGGAAATTAAATATTTATTTGGATAATTTAGCTGTAGCTACAGTTGTTTTAAATAATATTAAATAACACATTTTATTTATAAAGACACTTTACACAGTACAGCATTAAAATTATTACATGAGATCAGATAAAATCCTGAATAACACTTTAAGAGCATAGAACAAAGTAAATTAAGATTAAGATTAATGAAGATGAAAAGCTTCTTTGCAAAGGTGAGTTTTGAGAAGATTTTGCTGCAGTCACTAATGTGTTTTGTAGGAAAGTTCCAGAAGGTGGACACACACACACACACACACACACACACACACAGAGTGATGAGATGGGCAAACAAACTGGTTGCACGTATATCACGTCGTCTTTAGGCTTGCACTGTGTTGCTATGGGTGGAGAGCTTGGCTGGCAGGTTTGACTGCCAGCACATAACAAATAATGAATAACCACAACAAATGACAAATGTCAGATCATAAAACTGAGACATACCGTAGCCAAAGCTACACAACGGCTACACCTCAAAATAGAAAAGAGTGAAGCTGAATTTGATTTGTGTGAAGGTTCTTTGGTCTTTTCTTATTTAACGCCTGACTTCTGCCTCTGTGTTGATTATTTGATCCATGAACGTTCAGTTGTCCAGCCACCTGTATGGTAGCCATATTGGCCTCTCAGTAACTGCAGAGTGCAGCGTATCTCTTACCAGGCATTTGGCTCTGTATTATTAGGTATGGATATTTATGATTTGGTGATTTATGTGCAGTGATTGTTTACTCCTTCAAAATGTGTGTATTCAGTATTTATTGAGGACATTCGTTATTTGAAGAGTTTTATTCATGATTATTACTGTAATGTGACATAAGAAAGCTTCTGTAGGTATAGGCAACTAATGGGCATCAAGCTGCAGTAAGACTGTGTTTGCCTACGTAACACAGTAGTGAAGCCTACTAGTTATGACCCTATTCAGACGTCATTATACTACATGTGTGACCTTTAGGGCATGGGAGTGGTGATTTGTTACTGGCTGCATGTCACTGTTTTGTTAACAAGATGCAGAAACAGTCATTAAACTGCAGGCTATTTTCCTTTACCTACAATCAGGAAACAAAAACATAACTTCATTATTTCATTTTAATGTGTTAGGTTATGAGAAAACACTAAGTTTCATATGTGATGGCCTTCCGCGCACACTGTAGGCTACATAACTATATTAAAAATTCCCCACAAAATGAAGTACTCATTTGTTTCTCCTTTTTTTCTGGGGGTGTCTTGGTTTTATGTCGTACTGGTGGCCAAGCGACGCTCAGACAGACTGGAGCGACCAGGAGCCGCAGTAGCAGCCATGGCGGCGGGCACACCCGGCCCCCTACCGAGCCACTGGAATAATAGCGAGAGAAAAAAACTCTCCCTGTGCGTTACAATGCAAGTAACAGGCCTCCCATCTCAGGCTTCACACACGCACCTCACAAACATAATATTTACTGTAGCGCCTATAAAACTGGTTACAGTGGTAAAGATGGCTGTGCAACAAACGACAGGCCGGGTTCATCCTGTCCTCTGCTGAATGGGAAGCCCTGTATCATCAGCAGGGGAAAGAACAACCTTTCCTACTGTGATATTTTTAGTACTGTACCAGCCATGTTTAATCGTAGTGTTGTGTTTAAACGCCATAACGTTACACTGATCATTTTTAAAGAGCCACCCTCATCGGACATGTCCGGGATACGCTTTTGAGTTCCGTTTAAATTAGTGGAAGATGCTACATATAATCATCCTCTAAATTAAATTTTCATCAAATATCTTATGGTTCCATCCCCTCGGAATAAAGTGGAATAAAACACAAACCTATGTGACTGCGGAGAATCCGATGTTCAACCTTCCCGTGTATGTAGTCCCCAGCCTCCGCTCTCTCACGCCTGTGTTCCGTCAATAGCAGATTAAAGAAACACTTCCGGTCAAATTTTCAGAAAAAAGCGATATTATATTATATTTATTATATTGAAAAGTAGGTTTCGTTTTAGGCGTGTGTGTATAATATATCCTAAATTGTTATTTACTGTATAACACGAGTGACGTTTTTATCAAGTTACAGTATAAAAACTGGCTAATCCTGTTTATGGAAACATACTTCCAACAGTAATGTTCATGACAGGTTTAAATTTGGACATACTAAATTAAAATTATGAGATAAAAAGTCAGAATTTTAACTTAATTTATGTTATAATCTAGGTAAAATTATTAGGGAGTGGTCAGCAGTTTGAGATTGAGTGCCAATCACCGAAGCACCCTCAGATGAAACTGTAATACCTAACTTTTGAAAGTTTTAGAGCTTGGATATGTAGCGTAATATTAATGAGCCACATAATAACAGTGCACCCCTGTTTGACAAAACCACAGTTGTCCTTGAATAGTTAAGGGCTGAAGTGACACCACAGGAAAAAATTTGACTATCCAGTCCCATCTCAGCTGTTCCACCTCTCTTGGAACCTAAACACCAACCTGGAAAATGACAGCCCCACAAAGTTGAATCAGAATCAGCATCTGCTTTATTGGCCAGGTGTGTAGGACACATGACGAATTTGACTCTGGTACGGGGGCTCTCAATGTGCATGTAATATCCCCATGCAAGGGGCAAGTAAACAGTAAACCAACATAAGGCTGTGTAGTATAACAAAATAAACAGTATTAACAAGCAACAAACAATGCAAAATAAACAGTATAAACAGGCAGTAAACAATACAGACAGACAAAGGAATGCTCATTGTGAAACGAGATAAATGGGAATAAAGATGTGGCTTAACAAAAAAATTACTCCACACTGAAACCTACAGTAGCTTAATTTATACACATCACCCTGTGCATTATATTAGAACTTAGCAGGGCATACACATACATATATACACTTCTCTTTTTGTACTCCTCACATCAGTAAGCACTACAACAAAAGCTCAGCTTTGCTGGGACAGCTGACAGTGTGAAAATAAGTGCTGCAGCATTGGACAAATTGAGAAAAGTAATAATGTGTTTCTTGAAAATTACAGAAAGTAGACTTTTTCTAGTAGGCTATATTGAGTCCAAGATAAGCTATACAAAGTTGTCAACCTGTGTTTGGCATACAAATGACCAGTTCTTCTGCTGGAGGTAGTTGCCTGTGTACCGTTTTGCGAAATGGGAAATGAATTTGTGCTGGATTTCTTAATAGGGACAGATAATTGATAAGATATAGATTATACAGTGTAGTTTGAGCCATACTCCATTATAGTACAGCAGGTGTTTAATTAAGCATTTGTAAAGTCAATTGTCATACGAACAGAAGAGGGCGCTAATGCAAGAATCTGTGTTTGCCATGATGCGCCAAAAGCCAAAAGAAGAAGACGTATGACGTCAAGACGCGATTGGTGTGGAACTGATAGGGTTCTTTGCTGCTGGCGCCGAGTTTAAAGAGTCTCGGTTGAAGAAGTGCAATAATAGTAGGTCGTTATTTGCATTCAGAACTGAACCGGAGGAGATGCCCTACAGCAGGTATGGTTACCAAGATTCAGGCGTTGTTCACGTTAACGTAAGTGCACTTTGAACGTGTCACCCAGCTGAAAATGAGCCAGCATTACGTTACGTAACTATCTCAGTTGTGTTACAGTTTAAGAACTGCCACTTAAGAGTGTAAGTAAGCTTAAAGTCTATTTCAGGTTGTTAGTCGTTATAATCGCCATTCTGATCCGCTTTGGTATAAAATTGAACTGAATAATCGATGCCGCGCTTTCATCTCAGCCTGGCCTCCACTGAGTTCTGTTTGTGCCTCCCTTCTGGGGTTAAGTGGAAACTAACTGCTGAAATAAGTCATGGAAAATCTGCACGCATATATTGCTTGAAATAGAAGTGACAAAGTATTTGCATTTTCTTTTGTAGATAGTTAGAATTTGCGCGGTCACACTGCTGCTTGCTGCATCAATATGGCGGGCAAAGGTTCTTCTTCTGGTTAACGCCAGCCAGTTTTCTTTGCGGTATTGCTGTAAAAGAGCATGATAAACGTGCAACCTCGTCAGCATTTTGAAAATTGGTGTTTGATTAGATTCTCCTTCTACCCAGCATGCCTCTGCAAGATTTGCCCTGCCTCGGCCTTCAGGGCTCCGCGTTGTCTCAGTCCAGGAGGACAAACAAACGCAAGTCGAGGGGCAGCCTCAGCGAGGGCCTGGACACCGAATGCACCACGACAGAGCTCATCCAGCAGTGGTCACCCCGGCACAAGCACCAGCGTCTCATCTGCAAGGGGAAAGAGAATGAGGGCAGCCAATTTGTCCTTGCCAGGAGATCGAGGAGGAAGAAAGAATGCACGTCAGGTAGGAGACATCTCAATGGGCTTGTTTAAAATGATGACCTGTGTTTATCATACTTAGCTCTTTTTTTGTTGTTGTTTTCCCCTGCAGGCATTTCATGGGACCACCTACCAGATGAGCTGCTTCTCAGGATCTTCTTCTGCTTGCCTCTGCAGGACCTTCTCAGGATGTCCACAGTTTGCAAGCGCTGGTACCGCTTAGTGTGAGTCTCCCATCACTAGGATGCACCTGTGACTGTAATGGTTTCTTTCTGATCCAAAGTCAGTCCCTAGTGATGTAAATTCTGTAAACTGCTCACATTCGACCATAAACAATCCTTATACTTGCATTTACATCTCTTATCCCATGTACCGTATTGTTCTAAGACATTTTTGGAGGTAAAAAGTGTGGTTGTTCAGAGAGGTAGGAGTGCGCCTGCTTGTGGAGGGTTTTGTGAATAATGAGGTAGTGTTGCACGATATACCGGTACTAGTATGGTACCGTGGTACTGAGGCATTTAAAATGGTACTATACTGCATTTGGATGGGACCGGTACTTGCAGCGCCCACCCGCAACAGAGGAAAACAGAGCAGTAAACAGCTTCCTCGTCCTCTGCTCACTGAGCAGCATGGACTGGAGCAACAAACGGAGCAGGAGGAAAGCTTGGAGAGAGCAAAGACGTTGGAGAGTGAGAGAGAGAGAGGAGCACGGAGAGGAGAATGGCTGCTGTAACAGTCACCACCCCGCAACTTGTGAACAAACGAGGGGCGCGAAGTGCTATATGGCGGTACTTTGGCATAAAAACAAATGAGCAAGGAGAGGCAATTAATGTTGATGCGCCATTGTGTAAACGATGTTTTAAAAGATGCATGGCTAAGGGCGGAAACACCTCCAACTTAGCCAAACACCTACAGGACAAGCACCCAGACCTGCACACTGAGTTCAGGGAACGACAGGTAATTTACCCATGACATGTACCCTTTTCAAATGCAATAGTTCAATAGTTTTAAGTGTGCAACACATGATAGAGTTCTTATCAAACAGAATTTTTTTTTTGAGTGCAATAAGAAAAGCCTAGTATTTTGAATTTTATTTTGATGATATTCAGTAATGACATTTTTTGCTTTCTCTTTTTATCTGAAAAACTATCCAAAAGTATTGAAATACATTTTGGTACCGGTACCAAAATGTTGGTATCGTGACAACACTAAGGTAGAGTCTGTCTTGGATGCACTGTAGGATAAGGAACCAGTGGAGGTTCTTGAAAGCAGGAGTGAGTTAGCAGATTAGGATGTACTGGAGTTCACTGAACACTATGGGTGAGGCACCATAAAGAATGCTGTTGCAGTTGTCAAGTTTGGATATAGTAAAAGCATGGATTAGGGATTTGGCAGCAGAAAAGGAGAGGGAAGGGCAAAGTAAGCTGTGTTGTTTAGATGGAGAAATTAACACCATACATTGGCTCAGTGGATTGTTTAATGCACACTATCCTAGACATTACATGTAGAATTAAACAGCCTGACAACCCTTTTCCTAGCCCTGCGATGGATTGGCGACCTGTCCAGGGTGTACCCCGTCTTCGCCCGATTGCCAGCCGGGATTGGCTCCGGCCCCCCCGTGACCCCGTTCAGGGACAAAGCGGTAGAAAATGGATGAATGAATGAACCCCTTTCCTGTGTTTCTGCCCCAGGTTTGATGAGTCACTGTGGCACAGTGTGGATTTGGAGGGGATGACTCACATGGGTGCTGCTCTACAGCAGGTTCTGAAAACCGGGGTTCGCAGGCTGCGCTGTTCTCGCGCCTTCGTGGAAGAGCTGCACTTCACAGGAACAAGGTGAGTCCACAAGGTAGCAAGGCCCGGCCCAGACTTTATTCATAAGAACAACACCCTGATGCATCTTCTTCCTCTGTGCCAATGAGCTCCACTGTTGACTATTAAAACTGTTATCATTGTCTTCTCCTTTGTTCAGCCCACTGCAGATAGTTCAGATGGACCTGTCCAGTTCCATCATCCCCACCTCGGCTCTGGAGAGCATCATCTGCCACTGCAGGCAGTTGGAGTATCTGAGCTTGGAGGGTCTGCAGCTCTCAGACACCATCATCAAGTAAGCTTTCAGCGCTGCAGCTCTCCTCATCCCACTGTCACACTGCAATTCTTAGTGATGTGTTCTTAATTATCACAAATGGTCTATAAATGTGCACAATATTGTTAAAATGTGATCAGTAAATATCAATATCTATTTGACCTTGAGCCACTTAATTAGATCCAGCATTGATTCAAGACAATATGTCGGCTTCATTGCTATTGTGGGTTATTTTAGGTGTGTGGACACACGTCTTTCTTTGGTTATATGCGGGGGGGGGGGGGGGGGGTTGTTTTTTTGCGCGGGGATGATATCTGATGTTGTGTCCTATCTCTCAGTTCTCTGGCCAAGAACCCAAACCTGCTACAACTCAACTTGGGTGGTTGCTCTGGCTTCTCTGCTCCGGCTCTGGCTGACATGCTCGCATCCTGCTCCAGGTCAGCCACTCAGGCCATGCCATCTGTCATAGCCCAGTTATCCAAATAACACCAGCTGATTTTATTCATGCTCCATCTCAGTGGTTTTAATAATGCTGTTTTGTTTTTGTCTTCTGTGCAGTATAGAGCAGTTGAATATATCATGGTGTGAATTCAGTAATAATCATGTGAAGAATGTTGTTAATCACCTGAGTCCCAGTGTTACTCACCTCAACCTCAGTGGTTACAGAGAGAGCCTCACACTAGACGGTAAGTGACTGATGTTGGTATCAAATCAGTTCATTGCAATGGCATTGTCTCCTGATACAGTACACTCCAGTCTGTTTTTCAATTCAGGCTCTGTGCTTCAGCATATTTAACTTAAATAAGTACAGTACAGAGCTGGTGCCTTTTATGAAAGGCAAACGAGGACAGACATTGATGTGATCACACCCGCTGTCTACTAGTCTGTTCACTTTTAAATTTTGATGACTTTTAGGCTTTGGGTGATCTTTCAGAAATGGACACATGACATAACTGCTTTTTTTTTTTTTCTTCTTCTTCTTTTACACAGATGTGAAGGTGCTGGTGGCGAGGTGTCCTCATATTCAAACTCTAGATTTAAGGTAAAATTTAATTGCTTGTGAGCAGCTTGACTCGTTCATTACACTTTGGTCCAATCTGTTTCAGATACTTTTGACTGGATGAAATTCTGGTGGAAACACAGAGTATGTGCTTTGGGGAATATTGTAGAGCTAGACCTGAGTGCAGTTAGTCAATGTTGCTTTGCCACTGCTGGGTGTGTACATAGGCAGCTGTTTGCATACCAGTTTTAACAACTTTACAGACACTATGTCAGATGTTTTCTGAGTGTTCCCCATGAACATGTCAGTTGTGTGTTAAGCACCCTGGTTCCTCTGTCACAGTGACAGCACTCAGCTGATGGCTGACAGCCTCCCTGTCCTGGCGCAACTCACGAATCTGCAGCATCTGTCCCTGAGTCGCTGCTATCACATTAACCCTGCTGCTCTCAGGTAAGTTCCCCTGCTGCTGTCCCTGCCTCTCTTTAAGTTACCAAGTCAAACACCAACCCTAGTTCCTGTCACACCCTCCAGTGACCTAGGCAAGACACTCCCCCTGCTGTGCCTGCTGGATGCTTTTGGCCTTGTACATAGCTGCCACCTGAACTCTCTGAAGAAGGAGATACCTCACATCTGCGTCAACTCAAGGCCTTTCTCCAGCATCGCCCGGCCCACACCTGCCAGCAGGCTCACTGGCTCCATCAGCGACCACACCATGTGGAACAAGACGTGTCGCCTGAGGTTCAAACTGTAACCACAGTGCCTCCCTCTCTGTTGCTGCTGTGGTAGAGCCATGTTTCTGCTACAATGTTTGTGTTGGTTGGCATCAACAGTACTGAAGATCACACGCTCTGGACCATGCTGTTTTTTTTTTTGTTTTTTTTTTAATGTAGGAAAGCAAGGTTAGGACATTGAACCCTGTTCTTGTTGGAATGTACTGCATTAATGCAAGCTTTGTACATTTTAAAATCAGTTTTTATGTTCTAATAATGTGTTAATTTAAAATGTTAATATGGTTTTAAAGGTTCAGGTGAAATGTTTTACTCCATCTGATGAAGACTAGGGGTAGGGACTGTTCCTCAGACATTTTAATGCCCAACGTGGTTAGTTCCTACCTCTAATGAACAATCAGAAAAGGTTTTAATGTAAAATGATATCTGGATCTTGTCTCCAAATTAGTGTATGTGTGACTTCTCATCAGCTGGACAGTTGCTTTTATGAAGATCTCATTATGTCTGTGCATGTACCGTTTGCCCAGTGCTGTAGATTACTGTTTCAATCCAATGTTACACAGACTGTTGACAACAAAAACATTCCAGTTCAGTCTTAAGTCAACCACTAAATACACATTATGTCCCAGTTTGTTTCAGTGGGTGTTACTTGGCTTTTAAGAGTTAGTGATTAAGCCTGAAATGTCACTTGTCCCTGGAGGTAAGCTCAACTCAACTTACTGTTACAAGTGTGTAACTTCATGTATACGTTTATTATTGAAATCAGTTACAGGTGCTGTACTGGACTACATTATATTTAGAGATGTCTATATTTTGTCCTCTACAGCTACATACATGAGGGTTAGAATATTAGGAACACCTCTGAATATAATGAAGTCCAGTACAGTGCCACCTTTAGCTATGACCTCAATAATAAACATAACTGAATTTGTACATGTGAAAGTTTTACCAAAAATAAACACAGATGTTAAGATAGAAATGTTGCATTGAACTGTATACAATATAGGTGTAACCAATGAAATAATATCAGCTGTACCTCAACTCTACTGGAGTGGAGGTGATTTTATTTTTTTGTAAATTTGGGTCAGCTGGTCAAGTTATTCTGCTGTCTACTCCTTACATGTAGATATTTGATAAAGAGACAGTAATAGGAAGATTTTTTCACTCATACCACTTTATTTGATTAAAAAAAAAAAATCATCCTAACAGTGAGTTTCCATGAGGATCCCTGCTTTTGACACACTGCATATTAGTTTCCTGATCATTCAAGCCCAGTTGAATGAAGTGTTACAAGGCCCACCCACAATGCTGTACTGAATTACAAGTGAGATCTATTTGATTATGAAATATTTAAAATCATTACAACTGCAGTGGTTGTCAAACTGTACCCTCTTTAACCATTACCAAACCGCATTGTGCTGAGCAAATTCACTAGACAAAACCTCACTTTATACAGTGTAAAACTGTTGTGGAAACATATGGCATGGCTGTCCTGGGCACATGCTGCCGTTTCAATAACACTTCCAAAGTCAATTTCCACTTCTTATAAGAGGTACAAGACAGACTTCTGACTTTGTGCTTAAGGAGTATTTTGCTCGTTCAAGGTCTCCAAATCCTGTTTTCACTGTCCAAAGGCTCAAACAGGAAAAAAATAAAAATCTCAGTGAAAGCTTATCACAAAGTCCATGTGTGTCTGATCCCCCAGACAGACATGCATCCAAGTCAACAAGGTTAAGCCAAAAGAGGTGATATGAAAATAGAAAATAATGCACATACCTCACATTTAAGAAAAATGTAACACTGACATTTTTATCAGGTATAAAAATGTTCCAACACTTGTAGACCTCTTTGGACATCTCTTCAAACCAGTCAGGGGCCCACGTGCTTTGGATTCGTCTCAGTTTTCAAGAACCACTGTTCGAAGCTGATCCTCCTCGATCATGCTGATTGTAGCAATGGCACCATCGTTGAACTCAAATGAAGTCCCACCGTCGACCACCATGCAGGCATCCCAACATCGAGAACGGACACAGACCCTGAAAGAGCAAAGGTAAAAACATTCACATCTTTACAGCCTTGCAGTGTGAAACTGTATTAGCCTTTGTTATGAGGCCAAGGTGCATTCACGGACTTGCTGGCGAAACCTCTCTGCCGACTACTGGAGAACACTCTGTTGACGATGGGCTCCCTGATGCTGTAGAACATGTGTCTGTCGTCCGGACTGAACACCAGGGACTCAATGTATTCCTCAGTAACTGAACACACACAGATAATATCACAGTATAAAACAAAGTGCCTAAAATGTACAAATCAACTAGGACAATCAATCATCTCACCTTTTTCAACAAATTCACGGTTAAGTGGGATATCAAAACCTGTTTTGGACTTTCCTGGCAAAAAAACAAAAAAAACCAGACAAGTTATCAGTGAAGTCAGGTGACATGTTTGGAGACAAACCTATTTTGCTTTAGATTTTATTTAGTTTCACGGTGTCTAGCATCAAAACCTGCAGACATACATACCAATTTTTAAAATCTCCTCTACAGATTGTTCAGCAAGTTTGTTGATGTTATATGACCTGCGGACACAGAGAAAATCATGAGCGAGCTGTGGACTGATACAGGTTCTAGCACATCTCTATGTACCTGATACGATACTTTCTGCAACTTCATTTAAAAATATATCATTGTGGTGTCAATGCTTCATTCCAGTTCATTCTACTTTGTTTAGATTGACCACAGAACAATAGGAATATTCTGTCACTGTTTTTAACGCTCATTCTCAAGTTCCACATAATCCTGTGGAAATCTTGTCAGCTATACAATGGCTCCTGATACTGTCAGCCCACAACACAAGCTGTTAGAGGTTTTCTGAAACACAGGACTTAACCCAAACACTTGAGTTCACACAGGGTACAGATGGATTCCACTCATGGTGACCCAGTCTGAAAAACTGTCAAAACACCTAGAACCTGCTTCTCCACTCACCATACATGTGCTGAGTACGTTCCTGACATTTTCACTAACTACACGGTTTTTCTTTCACTACTCACACATGGCCCTGTCAGGCTTCTGAGCTGGTGCAGGTGTTACTTTGCCTACATTAGAATGGCCGTCTAGTGCTGTTTGACTATTTCTTCACAGATTTTTTTTAAAAGCCTACACAATGACTCATACTAAAACATAGCTACTGGATTAAGGGAATAGTTTGACATGTTTGAAAACAAGCCTTCTTGCCAAGAGTTTTACAAGGAGATTTGATACCATGTCTGTCAGTTAAGTATAAAGATAGAACTCGAACCTTTATGTTTGCAGATGAATTAAACAGGTACATGTTAAATCAGTGGTCTTCAGACCTGCTGCTAGGTGGGTTGTGCTACATTTGGACATAGCCAGGCTAGCTGCTTCCACCTGCTTCTGGCCTTTATGCTAAGCTAAAGTAACCATCTCCCTGCTCTACATTCATACTTAATAGACAAAGTGGTATACAACTTAAAGTGAATAAGCACATTTCCAAAACATCAAAATAACAAACCTTTTGTAAGTTTCATTTGTAGATCTGCAATTGGGGAAACATGTTTGCATCCCTTTTAAAGCTATGTAATGTCTTAACAAGGAAGAATAATGTCGTATTCTCACAGGCACCGCGCTGCATTAAGCTGTGAACACTGCTCTAAAGTAACTGACTCAACATATGTAACTGAGAAAAAAAAAAAAAATAGTACGTGGAGCGTCCAATAAACAAGACCTAAATCTAAAGCTAAAACTTAAAATATAATATAGTACACAAGTATTTTTGTCCTCCCAAGAAAGTAAACTTTTTAATGATCCTATGACCCTTCCCATAGCACAACCTGCAGAATAAACCTTTCAGCTTCAATACTGGTAACACTAAGCATAGCGAAATTGTTTCTCAATTGCAACTTTAAAAGTTAGTTAAAACACTATCTATTAGGTACTAATGTTAACCACAAGCCACATCTCAACTTCAGGTAAAGCTCAAAGTTAATTATACTTATGTATACCAGGCTCTGGATCCTGTTCCTGTACAAATGCTGAGTCCTGAACTCTTCTGCTTTTCCCATGGGCCATCATCCACAGAGATCTCATAGTAGGAAGCCCTATGGAGCAAGAGGTTAACATGCTGTTTGAAGGATTTTAACTTCACCCTGTGGTGGACAGAAATGCCCCGATGAGTGCTGGAGAAACAGGCAGGGTGATGGTCAAGGGTTAGGGGATTAATGAGGGCAACTACATGCACACAGGTTTAGATGAGAGTTACGTGCATCAGTTTAAATAACTGAGGTACCTGGAGGACAGAGATTCGCCAATGAAGATTTCATTCAGACTTCTGACGGGGAGGAGACTTGGCTTGGAGTTGCTCTCATGTAGTATTCCTGTCCCTGAGAAAACTCAATGAATTAGCAGAAAAATAACTAGACTGTGCAGATTCTCAGTCATTCAGGTCAAAGTAAACTGAAAAAAAACCTTAGAAAAAAATCAACTGGACTTAGATTTCTAGATCGAAGATGTTTCACCTCTCGGGTGAGAGGTGAAACGCCTTCGATCTAAGTCCAGTTGATTTTTTCTAAGGTTTTTTTCAACAATAACTAGAGTACAAAAACATCAACCTAACAGTATCATCGACAAAATGATCTCGTGATACATGATCAGTCTGATCCTAATTCACATATTTCTCCAACAGTGAGCCAGTCACACAGGACAACAGAGTGGAAGCCAAAGACAGAAGGATTGAGTGCACACGTTGGCTGCTGGAGTCTTGGACCTAGTTTATATTTGCCATTCGTGCCTGTTCGTCCGGTGGCATGTCCCAGCAGTAACGTCATTTTTGGTGCATATTGTGTCGTGTTTGCCAGGTCATGCACCCCTCAATTTCTGTAACTTGGCAGGGGTGAAACAGGAAATTGATGAGCTGGGGGTGAGGGTGTGAGCAGGTCTGTCTCTCCAGATGTTCACCCTGTGCACACATCTATGGCTTGGTGGTGCTGGTTAGGTAGAAGGCTGAAACAGCTTGCAGACAAGCATTCATTCATCTGTTCTGTAGGTTCAATATCTGCTGGCTAGCTAGACGGCTAGTTAGCTACAGAACTATTTCCTGTATATTTCTTCTTCTACTGCTATTCCAGCGATGTAGATTGTGTTTTTCTCAGCACTGACACCTATCGTTTAAGAAAACACTGCAGCGAGTCAAATGACGCTTAAGTGGGAGTATAAACAGCTCTGGCTCTGTGTTGACCTCACAGCTGGCGTGCACCACGGCCAATGCATCAATCATAACCGCACCATTACTCCTCTGGCTGTCTGTGATGGTGATGCGGTGGGCTTGGCTGTGCTGCTCCAAGCTCAGCTGCTGTTCATGCAGGTCCATGGGGGTGGGATTGATTCCTGTGCCCTCTAAGTACAGACGGATCCTCTGACGCCAAAGCCACCTGAAGACAGCACACAAGAGGTTCAGTTCAATTCAACTTTATATAGCACCAAATAACAACAACAACAAGGTCTATACCTTAGAGTATTACGGAGAAAAACCCAACAAGATTTCTACAGTACTCAGGAAAAATGTGGGAATAAAAACCAAGTTTCTCTGTAATTTTTGGGTTAGCGCAATCTGGACCAGTTTTAAAAAGTTTCAGGTTTTTGTGAGATTAAAAACAAAAGTAGCCATTTCTGGATGTCTTCAAGGCAGTTTAAAGGCGAAAAAAATCTCATTAAAATTGCTGGGGTCACAGTTATAGCAGATTTGAATATTATCTGCATAGAACTGGAAACTGATGTGTTCTTAAAAGATGTCTTATAGGTAGGCTCTAGATAGAAAGTAAAACAGGACAAAGCACCGAACACTGAGGGATCCCACAAAGCAGTTTGGATCTCTATTTGCCACACACAGCATAAAAGATCTCGTCTTTGAGGTACGACTTTAACCAACCCAGAGCTTTACCACTGACCACAACCCTTCCAAGGCGGGTTAATAAAATGGAATGGTTAACTGCGTCAAAAAAGTCTAAAAAGACTAAAACAGATGGGCGGCTGGCATCTACATTCGGTCAACTGCATCAAAAAAGTCTAAAAAGACAAACAGATGGGCGGCTGGCATCTACATTAAAATCACCTCAAATTAAAGTGTTATCAGAAGAACTAAAGACAGGAGCTTGGAAAATCCAGCATAAAATAAAATAAAGAGGGGATTCAGGAGGTCTGTAGACTGATAAGCACAGATATGGAATTTTCCCTTTGAACACAAAAGAACTTCCAAATCATAACAGAAACCACAATGAAAACTGTTGTTCTTACTGACAACTTTGACAAAAACCATGTGACTTACACTCCAGTGAAACCACTCTGAGCTGAGCAACAGTTTAGTATAAACCTCAGACACACTGACCTCTAGCAGCAGTTAGGGGATTTTTTTTCAGGACACATTAACTGGATAGAGACTATCGTACAGAGTCCAAGGTCACAGTAATGCGGCTTAACACACCATGTGACTTTTTTCCCCCCAGACAACACAGGTTTAAACTTGCCTTGGCCTCTAAGATAATGGGAGTAGCAGCCACAACTTGTTTACCAATGTACAAACTGCAGTAAAAAAAAAAAGGGGATTTTCTGCATGACAAGCACTTTTTTTTCGGTAATGACTCAAAGTAGCTCTCTTGTAGGTTATCAGTAAAGAGCTGGAAAAAGATGACGGACAGCACACACATAAAGGAACAAGGCAGCACGTTGACCAGTAGGTGATCAGATCACTCTTGGGTAAATACGCACCTAAACTCACCACGAAAGAGTTTTGCCAGTGCCTCTGGGAAGGCTCGAGTGTAGCGTACAGGCAAGCACAGGTGACCTTCTGACCTTCAGTTCAAAGACAGAAAGGTAATGAACTCAACTAAATATAAGACTTAACAAGTGTGGATGAAGCATATTCAAATGTTATGAACTAACATAACAGGTTTTATTAATTTCTTTTCAGAGCTTCAATACAACAAGAGATCCATTTGTTCTTTAACCATTAAACAATCCAGTCCATTGTTGAACAGTGTAGAGTTCAGTGTTTTACCTCTCAGGGTCAGTGTTTACCCCAACAACTGGCTTGTCCTTACTTAAAACCTTACTGGCAACAAGAAGCATTGTCCCATCACCTAACAAAACAAACTGTAGTTAGAGAACTTTGTGTATTTTAATCAGTTTTCACAAGACTTTGTTCATGTGATTTTTGCCCCCGAGTTCAATTAGTTAAGTGCCCAATATGTATGCCCTGCTGAGAGACAAATTTAGGTGTCCATGAAAGATTTTTTTTAATTCAGTGTTAATTTATTTAAACAAACTGTGATAATGACCACAAAAGCCTAAATGTCATTTCCTGGAATGAAACAGCAAATGGCATATCCTGCCTTTATATTTATATTGAATCAATGTCGCCACAGGGGCAGCTGAAGTACAAAAATCACAAACCCAAATAATATGAAATCCCACCTCCAGCAGAGATAATGGCATCTGCCCATCGTACTACTTCATCATCATATTCTCCTCTCTTCACAACTCGTACATCAATGCCTTCTCTCCTGCAACCATTTAAGTGTTACACACTTTTACAAGTAGTGCCACAGCTGCAAAAAAGCTAATCTTCCCAGTCTACCTCTGAGGGATGTGACTGTGATAAACTTCTAGTGGCAAACCATGTCATACCTTAGGCTCTTCACAATATGTTCCACATTGTTAGTGTGGATCTTGTGTCTTTCCAGCAGGCCACTGTAGCTGGAGCCCTTCATGGCAAGCTGCAAAACAGAGACAGAGTAAAATGTAAGAATCTGGTTCGTCTGGGTGTCACAAACATGCCTCAAAGTGAAAAGCAGCCATACCAAGTGTTTTAAATCCTCTTCAGTGAGCCCTGCATAGCGATACCGCTGCTGCTCAAACTCATATCTCGTAGTCTTTGTAACCACTGCTACTTTTTCCGGCTTGAAACCAGCTTTTCGATGCGATGAATTCATGCAGACTGAAGTGTGAAGGGCGCGGGCTGGGTTTCTATACAGCGGGCTGGCAGTTCGACTCCCAAGACGCACCAAGTTAACCACTGAGAGGCGAGTCATTCTTTAAGTGAATACACAACCATAAACACAACTAATGGCCCGATTACATGAGCTGAAGAGGAGTAATGCTCGATAGTGCTGTTACGCAGCTGTCACACCGGGTCATGGCAGTCCTCTGCCCAGGTGCGGGTCCATTCGCAGATACACCCAGCTATCAACGAAGGTCACTTGGTCTAATAGGCTCTTCCCTAAATGTTACTGGGATTACGTTCCAAGTCGAATGTCTCTTAAACTACACAGCAGGAACAGCAGTTATTATAACCCATTTAGCGTACTAACTGTATTTGACTTGATTAAACAATAGCCTGGTGTTACCAAATGAGCTTAACAAGCTAAAAGTAGCTGTTAGCTTGTTCGGAAGTCGCAAAGCGAGCAGTCCTGCATATCACATATTCCGACTGTGTTCAATCTTACCACAAACCGCACTAACACTGCATCACACGCCTCAGGCCCAAAAGCCTTTTAAACACAATGCAACACACATGGGCAAGTAAATAATAAACGAAAACACAAAAGAACACTGCACATACGGACATGCCATGTAATTTGGCACGTACTATTCTTCTTCTCTGGTGTTTTACGACAGTTGGCATCCTAGTGTTGTATTACTGCCATCTTGTGACCGTAACCTGCGCCACCGTCCCATTATCCTAAATCCTATTTATTAGCCATACCCTCAATTAATCTAATAACACTCTTCTCCCTCTTCCACTCAGTACTATTTCTCCTATACTTTTAAAACTTATAGCCTATCTACTAACCCTAATTTCTGAAAGTGGGTGAACATATCTACCCTTTCTCCTGAATATTCCCTGCATGAAATGAGCACATGATTTATTGTTTCTGCTTCTTGACAAAGATCACAACAGCCTGTAGGGTGTTTTCCTGTAACAAAAAGTGTACTATTGAGGTTACTGTGTCCAGCTCTGATTCTTCTAATTATTGCTTGTTGCCTAACTTGTGAGGACAGAAAATGATTCACTATATATAGTTAGTTACTTGAGTATGTTACTTGATGTGCTCTCTTCAGCTCTTTTTAAAACTTTCACTGTTGCATATATATGCACTTAGATAATTAGCCCTTATAGCAATCTCAACATTACAAGTGGTGCTACTGTCGCCTCTGTCTGAAGATCGTTTGAACCATTTGTAAAAATATGAACAAATTCTGAATACTTTTGTTCTACTCTGTTATAATACTCCCAAACCAAATTTACATTTTCCTTACTATTTTTTAATTTTATTCAGCTCTAGATCCACCTTTGGACTAGTCAACAGCCACCCTGGCACACAAGGCCACTGTAGGACAACACCACTGATTACTTACACCTACGCTGGCAGCCAATTTATTACCTTTCCAAACAAAGCTCTCTCTTTGTGCCCTTTCTCTTTCCCAGCACACCTGTAACACTTTTTTTAGTTGGATGATTATCAATGTGACCTTTAAAATTAACCCAATAATTTACTAGTAACTGCTTTCACTGTAATTCAAATGGAATTTTCTCCGCCTCAACTTGGAGAGCACACACTGGTGAGGTTTGAACTGCTCTTAAACATACTCTAAGAACCATGGCTTCCATTGCATCTAGCTCCAGATTTTGCTGCCAAAGCATAAGCAATACTATAACCAGTCATTGATCTTATTGAAGCTATTGTATATATCAATTTCAGAGATACAAAAGCAGCTCCCCAGTTTAACCCTGTTAAACATGACATTAAATACTTTTTTCCATTTACTAATCACATTTTCCACATTCTCTCCAGGTTAACCTGCTATTGAGATGAGTTGTTTCCATAATGCCCCATCATCTGCAAATAAAGATATCCTCATAGCTATTGGTATATTTTCAAAAATATATTTTATTGTAATAGAAAATCATGTTGGACTTATCACACTAGCCTGAGGTGTGCCATTTTCCACCACATATTTATTTGATATTTTTTGTCCCTATTTTTGAACCTGAATAGATCTTCCTTTAAAAAACAAAGGCCGCCAATCAGCTGCAAGGTCTGAACCCAGAACCTTCCTATGATGCATCAATGCTAACTACTTAACCACAGTGCCACCCCAACATTCAACCAGTACCGTTAATTTATAAAAACATTATCATTGCACAAGTTAGGCTAGGAGAAGCAGATGTTACCATACAGCTGGTTTATTGTCAGTCAGGTGATCCCCTCAAAGGCCATGGGTCTGGGAGGCTGCTGAGAGAGCAAAATGTGTGCATGCGAATGATTCAAGAACTCTGCTCTATGAGATGCCAGCTATCTGTAATGTTTATATTGTGAAACAAAAAAGAAATGTATTTTTATTTTTGTTCTTTAACTATAATCCCAGTTACTGAAGTATCACTACTTTGCTTTTTCAAATAAATCCATCACATGTAATCATTAGCCCCCTCCCTGTGACACAAGGTTTATAAGAAATACAACTTGCTCATAATGACAGTTTTTAAAGAGACTACTCCACAGAGCTTCAATGTGCCCAGAGCCTGGATTCTGTTTCTGTCAACAAATATTTATAATATGCAAACAGCCCCTGTTCACCATGTCGGTAAGGTTCTGATGAGTTTGATTTGATTTGATTTATTCTTTTAAGCATGTAAAGACAGTTGATATGTCAACACACATAATTTTACACATATCCAACAAATGCTAATCCAATAGCAATTTGCTTATACCCAGTACATGCTTGAATGGAGTAGGAAGAAGTCAGACTTATCCAGTCCTACCCCCTGACATCATCTTACCATCATTGGTTTGCAAGCAGTATCTCTACATAAATAATTCTCTTCTACACCACACAAGTAATATACTAAAAAATGTATAACAGAGTGTTAACATTCTTACATAATTACATTCTTAAATAATTATCTTCTACACCACACAAATAACATACTAAAGAATTATTGCAAAGTGTTAACATTCAGTTATTCTAGCAGAATAACATGAAAAAATAGCCACCTAAAAACAATACTGAATACAAAACACAGGGAGTCCTTCACCTGCTAGTGATCTCCACAGTGCCATTGCTTTAATGTGACACTGCCTCAGAGTATACCCACACATTCTGCAAAAAACAAGAAATAGATTTTTTTGTACATAGCATATAATCCAAAATTGGTTTGACTTAAAATCTCAAGAGCACCGTCTTCACTGTGGTAGGAATAGGAGTAAGAAAAATATACAGAATGAAACTGCAGAGTATTACCTTTACAATGATACCATGAATATGCATGAACTGTAATGGATTCTGGAATTACAGTCACCTTAAACGGAGAATAAAATACAAGAGGACATGTACGTATTCATGACATGATTGTTAAGAGGGTTCATTAAACCTACAGGGCAGTCGCATAATGTTTGGTCATGTTTTTCCACTGTGTTGGTTCCGTCCACTACATGACTACAAATGTCAAAAAACAGACTAGTTAAGCTGCCTCTATGTTTAGAATGATTGTCCTGTTGCATTCACCTAAAACTGAGATGTATAAAAGGAGCTACAGGTCCTACATTGTACACCCATTATAAAGTGAACACCTGTACAGTGAAGTTCAAATTCAGCTCTTTAATCTCACAGTCAGTATCATTTCAGGTCCAGTGTGTTGGAGTACAGAGCCAAAGCAAACAAGCATGTATAACTGTCCTATTCTTTTCTGCCTGCACTGTATGTTGCTGCAGTATCTAGATGGCGCTTTCACTGCCTCCTTTCTTCTTCCTATTATGAGCTCGGAGTATGATGAAGACCAGGACTGCAACAAGGAGAAGAACAAAGAGAAAGATGAGTGCACCCCATGCTCCTGGGGTCAGGGCCTTCCTCAGCTCCAGTCTCTCTGCCGGCAGCAAGTTGCTCAAACTCAGCATGTAGCCCAGAGCCCAACCCACCGAGGTGTCACCTGCCTGCAGGATCAGCAACGAAACAAGTCAAATCAAATCAAATTTTATTTGTATAGCACCAAATCACAACAAAAGTCATCTCATCTCAGGACACTTTACATAGTAAGGTCTAGACCTTACTGTTATCACTATTATTACAGAGAGAAAACCCAACAAATCCCCCTTGAGCAAGCACTTGGCGACAGTGGGGAGGAAAAACTCCCTTTAACGGAAGAAACCTTTGACAGACCCTGGCTCTTGGTGGTCGGCCTTCGGCCTTCGGCCTCGACCGGTTGGGGTGAGTGGATAGAGGAGAGAGAAAAGAAGAAAAGCAACAGGACACAACAAACAATCAAACACTGGTCAGGTTGATGTGGCCGGTGACTACTAATCAGAAACATAGAGCTCCAGAGCCAGGGCAACCTGTAGAAAGGTACAGGGAGAAAGAGAGAGAGAGAGAGAAGACACACTACAAGAGAGAGGAGACACAAAGTTAATGATGTGTAATGGTGGCATATAGAAGCATGGGGAAAGAGGAAAGGAGAGGAGAGGAAAGGGGAGGGGAGGAGAGAAACTCGGAGCATCATGGCCCCCCCAGCAGCCTAGGCCTATAGCAGCATAAATAAGGGAAGGCTCAGGGTCACTTGAGCCCTAACTATAAGCTTTATCAAAAAGGAAAGTCTTAAGTCTAATCTTAAAGGTAGAAAGGGTGTCCGCCTCCCGAATTGAGACTGGGAGTTGGTTCCATAGGAGACAAGCTTGATAGCTAAAGGCTCTGCCTCCCATTCTACTTCTGTGGACTCTAGGAACCACAAGTAAACCTGCACTCTGAGAGCGAAGTGCTCTGTTAGGATGATAAGGCTCTACGAGGTCTTTAAGATACGATGGAGCCTTGTCATTAAGGGCTTTGTATGTTAGGAGAAGGATTTTAAATTCTATTCTGAATTTTACAGGGAGCCAGTGGAGAGAAGCTAATATGGGAGAGATATGATCTCTCTTGCTAGTTCCTGTCAGTACTCTGGCTGCAGCATTTTGGATTAACGGGAGGCTTTTTAGGGAATTATTGGGACATCCTGATAGTAAAGAGTTACAGTAGTCCAGCCTGGAACTAACAAATGCATGGACCAGTTTTTTAGCATCACTTTGAGACAGGATGCTCCTAATTTTTGCAATATTGCGCAGGTGAAAGAAGGCAGATCTAGAGACTTGGTTTATGTGTGATTTAAAGAACATATTCTGATCAAAGATGACTCCAAGGTTCCTCACAGTAGTACTGGAGGCAAGAGCTATGTCATCTAAAGTAACTATATGATTAGACAGCAGATTTCTAAGGTTTTCAGGCCCAAGCACAATAACGTCAGTTCTGTCAGAGTTTAGAAGTAAGAAGTTGCAGGTCATCCAGGCCTTTATGTCTTTAAGACATGCTTGAAGTTTGACCACCTGATCTGATTCATTTGGTTTCATAGATAAATATAACTGAGTATCATCTGCATAGAAATGGAAATTTATGTTGTGCTTCCTGATAATATTGCCTAAAGGGAGCATGTATAAAGTGAAGAGAATTGGACCTAACACAGAGCCCTGTGGAACGCCGTGACTAACTTCAGTTTGTGTGGAACATTCGTCATTAACATGAACAAATTGGGGAGATTGGATATTGGTTTATAATTAGCTAGGACACCTGGGTCAAGAGTAGAGGTTTAATTACTGTAACTTTAAAAGACTGTGGAACATAACCTGTTAATAGAGAGAGGTTAATCAGATCTAGTATGGATGTGTTGATTAGGGGAAAGACGTCTTTGAGCAGCCTGGTCGGGATGGGGTCCAGGAGACATGTTGATGATTTAGATGAAGCAATTGTTGAGGTCAACTCAGAGAGATCTATAGGAGAGAAGTAGTCCAAGTATAAATGAGGTCTCACAGATGTTTCTAAAGCCACTGTAGTAGATGGCACATCCATGAAAGCAGCTGTACCCTGGAGAGCAAGTAAGTGGAAAACAAGCCTTTACTTTTTGAACAAGTGCATACAATGAGGCTTTCACCTTTTTCTGGAAGGAAATGTGTGGGAATGAAGTCTCACTGAAGCCGTAGCCTCTCAACATGAGAACCTTTACAAACACAGAGGAAGCACAGTAATCCTGCAAACGAGGCCTTTGCTCTGGAGCGAGACGCAACATCTAGAAGAAAAGCAAAAAAAAGTTAACATGTTTACTGTAAATGCAATAGGTAAAATTTAAAATGACCACCAGAATTTTTGCACACATTCCAACACTCACAGATGTACAGACACAAATGACGTATTCTAAATAAACAGAACAAGAGTAGAATAGAACTTTACTTCATTGAAGTTCATCCTGCACACTACTCTGGTGGCCTCCTCCAGTTGCGAGGGAGTGTTCACAGTGATGCCGGTGACACGTTGAAGGAAGGAGTGAATGTAGAAGAAGGCAGAGAAAGCCTGACATGACAGAACAAAAAACAAAACTCAGACTTCAGTGATTAGCAGTACATGGGCAGATTATTTAGTTCTGAGAGCAAGAGAATGAAACATGCATGACCTGTGTACAACATCAATGCACATTTTGAGACTCATGTTGTGTTAGTTATAGTTAATTCATTGTTTCCAAGCATCACAAGGTTGGGCTACACAAAGCTCATTACATATAGTCATCCATTTATTCATTAACTCTTCTGAAATACTTGTACTTTGAGTATTTACATGTTTCTACCTTCCCTATACTACTGTACATTTCAGGAAAATATACATATTTTGTACTCTACCATTTATGTGGAAGAAGGTTTTGCATAGTATATGATGATGTTAGGAATTTAATAAAGTGATATTAATATTGTTGATTTACATGGTTGAGGAATGATTGAATTCTTTTTATGCTTTTTTTGTACACAATGACCTGAGTTTATTTCTAGGGCAGGACTTCTACTTGTGTTCTTGCATACAGTATAAGTAACAGGAGGTTATGTGTCAGACTATTTCTTGGCTGGGATCAGTAACTTGTTGTGCTGGCTGCCTGGTCCCAGCCAAGAAATAGTTCAGCTATTCTGTTGGATAGTATTTAACGTTAGCTACATATCTCATCTTTGACATATGCAATACAGTAAAGACAACTCTCTAAATATCCCTGCTCACCCCGTGTACAGGCTGGAATTCAGTGTATAATGCTGACGCTGTGTACAGTCTCTCTGTGTCAATTATTTCCACCAGCCTTTCTTACCATGAAGCGACCGGTGACATTTGGCTGAAACACTTTGTCGAAGGAACACTGGGAGAAGGAGCAGCCGTCAAAGGAGAAGATCTCGGACACGTTGCCCAGACAGTGTTCGTAATGTCCGGTACCTCGTATTATCAAAAAGGCCTGGGGTTTGTAGGAGCTGGGTTTGTATTTTGTTGTACATGGAGATTTGAATATACTGCTGAAATGTAAAGTTCTGCTGTGGCCGGCAGGGTAGCAGGGGTGATCAACAGACTCCGAGTAATTCTGAGACTGAGAGAGTGAGAGACAGAGTTACTCGACACATTCCCTCAACAAACCCATTAAAATACTATCAGAATTATTTATTATATTTCCTAATATGTATGGCTGATAATGAGTGATGTTATTGGGAGATTATAGTTTATCGTAGATACAGCCCAGACCATAAATATCTGGACAGTTACTTGGGTTTGATTTTTCAGATCATCCTTGCAGGATTAACGATACAGAGGAAGAATTCCAGAGACAAGCCAGTTTTACTCTAATAAGATAAAAAGTGGCTTCTATAGATTTTGAATAAAGTGAGTGACCAGAGTAGAGAGTATTATCTAAAGCCTCAAACAAACAAACAAACAAAACACATTCTGTCAGTTATGGAAAAATATGTTGCTGCTATTTGAAGTAAGTTCAAGAATTAGAAGCAGCTGAAATGTAGATATTATTGTAGAATGACCCTTGTTTGTTTGCTCATCAAAATGTTAATAGAACTGTGTTAAAATGCATTCTTCAGCTAAACAGGGGAGATGTGGTGAAACCTCAGGGGTGTTGCCCAGTGTGGCCACTAGGTGGGCTACAGGACAGAGGGGTACTTGAATGTGTACTGTATATGTAGATGCAGTGTGGCTAACAAACATGCTGGAAAGTTCCCTCTGTAGTCCAGTGCCATGGTGTTTGTAATGAGACATTTACCACGCTGGCTGCTCACCATTTTAAGGAAAACAACTATTCTGTTTCCCAACTTTAAAAAGGTGATGAAAGAAAAGTGGTAATCTAGACAAACTAATGCTGCAACATACAGCATGAGCTCTGGTAGATTTTTAGATTGAATGCTATGTCTACGGCTGTTTTAAGTTTCCTTTCCTGTAACCACTTGTAGGGTACTTTCTTAACAGTTTTGTCTTTCACTACTTCAGATGGTTTCCCATTTGATCCACATTAATAACCCCTCACTTCCGTAACTTATTTTGTTTGTGTAAATTGGACACATCCTATAATTTGGGTGTGCAAACTGTCTTAGCTGTGCTTTGGATTCTCACTTAGGTTATATGCACCACAAATCCTACTTCTTTCTCTTTGTCTGACAGCGATGTTCTTTACCTCTACTCTAAGATATACTACTATCAAATCTTCCAAACTTGTTTAATCACATAATTATTCATTAATTTGCATTTTTAAAGTCATATTTATTTCACCTTTATTGTGTTGGTTAAAAACCTTCTTGTGTGTAATTGCATTGTATCACCTGGACTCACTTTTTTGTGTTGTACGCGTGTTAAAAATACAAAAGAAAAGTGTTAAAATTATGTCTGCATGTGCATATTGTACTGTAAATATCTTATTATATAAATACAGTAAAAAAGATCAATAATAACAAAATCCACATTCTGCTTGTAAAACAAAGAAAATATACAGGTGGATTTGCTTTTATGGAGCATGAAGACAGTGTTGCATTCACCTTCACTATATGGGCCAGCAGTCTCTGGAGGGCCTGGTCCTGCCCGTAGCACAGGAAGCTGTGTGTGTACAGAGAGTACTCCTGGCCATAAAGATGCAGTTTCATCATGTCCTGTTTGTCCTCTATTCCCTCCTGAGTTGCAAATGTTATCTGGGTGGACGCTCCACCAAAATCAAGCGCCCCCACCGTGGGTCTGCCAGTACTGAGCCAGTGCCCCACAAGACCATACTGCAAAAGAGTAATAACCAAAACTTTAAAGAGTAACTGTCCATTTCCACTGACGTGTTTAAACAATGGCAGGCTTCCTGAAGACACCAGACTCAGTGGTGCTTAACCTCTAGAGTCCTGAGCTTTGGAAACCCAAGCTGTGCGGTCCTCATATGAGGACGCAGGGACTCTAGAGGTTATGGAAAGAAGGGGGAATTTTACTAGCTTAGTCTGCTCTAATCTAAATGTCCCCAGGGACGAAGAGTGATATTTGTATGATCATCAGTGTCGGACACACCACTAAGTGTCATCAGTCACTCTCTAAATCTCCTGTCAAAAAATCTTTGCAACAATTAAAACCATTAAAACTAGAAATGATTAAAACAAACTACACAGTAAAAATGTTTCTGTTGGTTTTAGCACCATTCTGACAGAAACAAATACAACAGCTGTCATTGGCCCCTTGATGCAGTACACTGAAGATTTCTAAATAAAATCTGTAAATTCCCTGTGGTCCTTCAGAGAAAAACACTTTTGCATACTAATTAAAGTTTTTCAACTGCAAAAAACACACTTCAAACAAGCATTATTACCTTTATAAAGTTCTCTAAGAGATAGTTGACGGTGACCCAGCCGTACGCCCCCTCTTCTTGACCACTCAGTATGGTTGCTCCTTGGTAGCTGAAAGGGTACGACTGGATTTTGTAGCCCACTTCCTGCAAAATCTGAGTCGACTGCACTGGATTGGAAATACTTATTGGGAGAAAAGATAGACTGTCACAAGCTCCTGCTACAGCAGAAGGTATCTTTTATGGACATTCATTAAGAAGTTGCATGAGCAAAATGCTACTGATTGTTCAAAACTCAGCAGTTTTTATGAGTCTTGATAATTTCTCACTGCTTTATTGCCCCAAGCTGCAGGTTTCATTCATGGCCTCAACAAGATGTGAATCACCCAGATCTTCCTTTGAAAGTGTTACAATAAAATCAGACACAGGACCAGATGCCTGGTTTAAATGTTTAGAAAAAGTCATCCTCTACATCGGGATTAAATGGTGTGTAAAACCAAAAATATCTTCACATTTCTGTCTGTAAATGAAGAATTTATTTGGAGTAAAACCTCTGTATTTTTCAAAGCACTGGAAAGATGAACCAAGACAGTTTTTTGTGGATTTCACTTTCTTTTTATCAAGTTTGCTAACAGTTTAATGATGAAATGTTAAACAGGTTTGTCTAGGGAAGAGATTCATTTGAATTCAGGTGGTTTTATTTTACATCTGTACAAATATTTTTCTGACATTCTGAGTGTTTTTTGTGAAATTCATTAATCTTGTGTAGATTAAAATGCAAAAAAACAAAACCCAACTCCCCTGCCTGCATTTTTGATTATTGTTATAAGCAAAAGAGTGAAAAAATATTTAGTGTACTGCTAGTAAACTGAAATTTTACAAGGCCTGCTGATAAACAGGACTTTATTCTCTCTTTTGTTCATCAAGCAGGCCAGGGTTTTTTTCAGAGTCTCCCTGAAATGTGGACAAGGTGAAAGCACACAAGCGTGGGTCACCAGATGGCGAGACATATGGAACCTGTATCTTCAAGTTTAAAAAAAGTCATTTGAACCCAGTGTGATGGTTTGACTTACTGAAAAACAAGTCGCAGTAGGACTGTGAATTAAATTCAGAGTGGAAACAGCCAAAATACGAAAATGCAGACTTGAGACAAGATTTTAAAAAGTATTTGAAATAAATCATTATTATGTATATCTGTGTTAATAAACTGCCTGCTTATTAATTTAAAGGAGCTCGTCTCTGGCCTGCTACTTTACTCATCTCTACCACTCCTTTGAAGCTAGAACTGGTCCAGTAGCTCAAAATTCTGTTTTATAGTGATGCAAATGCTACAGAATGATTTACATCTTCATCTACTGCCACTGAGTGACTGGGGAGCTGTTTTCTGATGCATATTTGTATAAAGATAAACCTCACATACTCATATTTGAATAAATGTAAACTGATCTCAACTCCATTCTGCTCTGCAGCTTTGTGTCTCTAACACTAGTGCCTCTCTGTGTTTGTACATGTATGTCTGAACATAATATCTCTGTTCCGTGCTCCTAAAGCTTCATGTTCTGTCCTGCCCGATAATCAGTCTGATACTAGGAAGAATAAGAGGAAGATAGAGAAGAAACATTTAACAAGAGCAAACCTGACCCAGGAATAGTTAGTTCATTTTTGCTTGCAGCATACTATTTCTACCTCCTATGGAATTAAATACTACATAGTACTCCTGAAGTCTGATGTGTGTTTGTGTTCCCTCATTTAATCAGAGAAAAGATGAGTACATACAGGGCTCATATCTTAACAGACACTGGCCATATACTATACAACCAAAGTATTGTTTACCTTGGCTATATAGATCATTTTTTTAGTTCATAAAAAAGTGAAGCCTACAAAAAGTTACTTATTACCAGCACCTAAATATTATGAAACAATATACATGATGTCAGAGATGTTTGGTATGTTACTATAAAGACAAATACCTGTATAGTCAATACAACTCTGGTAAAGAAAACGTGGTTAACACAAGCAGTACAATTTTTTTGTGATATTCATCTATATTGTTATCCTGCAAGGGCTAACAGGCAACAATGCCATTAATATGAATTTATTGATCAGCCTCTGATGTCATAGTTGCATTGTTCATTCATAGTCACAGATAAACTGCAGACTCCACAGCTATAATGAAAAGAAAATGCTTACCAGCATCTGAATTAACAATGGTTTCAAATTCCTTAACAATGATATTAATTAATAATTTTAATTGGTGTCCTGGAATAAAGGTGAATTAAGTGGAAGAAAAACTAAGTCACCTAAAGACAGAACAAAAACAGACAGAGACTGACTCACTGCAAAAGCCTCATGCCAGCTGTGGCTCCGAGGTACACAGGTGTGAGCTGGTGTCTTTCTTTGGGGATGTCCTTCACTGCCTGGTCCAGACATGCCTCTAAGCTCTGCCCTGCTACTCCCTGCTGGCCTGCATAGCTGGAGATCCCTCCTCCTGCGTGAGTGAGGAACAGGATAACAGAAAAACCGATGATTACATAATGGAATTGTAGAATCTGGTTCTTATGGTTGCACAAAGCAGTGTTAGCTGATGTGACTATGATGCAAACTGATCGCGCCTATAAGACTATCAGTGTCCCGGCTACTGAGCTGGTGGAAAAAACTACGACATGACACAGCTGTGGGTGAATTTTGACATTAATCACTCAGTGTGGTGAAAGTGAAAAATCAGCTTATTACTTAGTCCTTACTGTTACCAGAAGCCCCCGATTATAGATCTTGTAAAATGGCAGTGAAAAAAAAAATGCTGCAAACATTTAAGGAACCTTATAGCACTTTAAAGATCTGCTTTAAAGTCAGCTTCTGTTACAATCATAAAACGTGACAGTGTACACACCATGTTCATGACTAAGTAGGAAAAAATATGTGTTTATCTAGGCCAAAAAATATAAGGATCATTTGGCAGGACAGGAACGGCAAACCACAGAGTTCAACGTTGACTCACTCCTGATTCACGATCGCCCGAGACAAAGATTTGCTTCACTTGCTGCAGTGTGGTAATATAATCCCTTCACAGGGAAGCAGCTGGCACCATTTCAGATCCCACATGCTGCTTGATATAATGATGGCTCAGTACATAAATCACAGGACTTTCCCTTTGGTCAGCAGGGTTCAATGCAGCGTGTAACAGTTTTTCTTTTTTACCTAACCAAGTAGTTTTTGTGCCTAAACCTAACCAAGTAGCCTGTTTGAAAAAAAAAACATAATGAAACTGTAACAGCATGTTTGTGACAGTTTCCATGATGATGGAGTGCCGGTACACATGCTGTTGTGTTTATGACTGTTGTCATTACAAGGTCAGTCTGTAAAGCTTGCCAGTGCAACATATATTGTTGTTATTGTTGGCAGAGTTCTTGCAATTCCGTCTGCCAAAGTAGGAGCGCTATTTCAGGAGCTACTCCTCTGGGTCGTACTGTATGAGATGGAAGGGGCAAATGACCATATGGGTTGTATAGGTTGGAAGACGTGTTGGTACATACAGGAGTATTGGTATCAGAGTGTTTGATATACATGGGTTTTTGGTGGACCTACCATCAACATGACATTCACTGTGCTGGGTGACCACGCCTGTGCCATTTTGCTTGTCTGCTGGCCACTTGTATATATACAAAGCTGTGTGCGATGATCCAGCATCCAGGACAATCCCATACTGCAGAAAAACAAAGAAAAATAAAAATCAGAAGGTAAACATAGAGAGAGTTAACCATTGTTCACAATTGGTTCTACGGAGGGTGCACTGAACGTGACAGTGAACATGACAAAAGACCAAAAATGATATTTGCAGTCGTAGCTTTCTGACTTGAATGTTGACATCTGAAAGCATTTGGCTGTAGACCAACTAATGCTGTTTATCTTCACATTTTCAGCACTGGTGTTATATTACACAACTACATATTTCCTGCGTGGAGACAATTTTATTCACCTATAAACCCTCAGGACTATAAGATATTTTAATAATGGACACTTTCATCTTTGTAGGACAAAAGACAAAATGTCTGTCCTTGTGCTTATTTATTTTCGGTGAAGCACTCCTATAGGTTCCATCTTTATGACATTGCTGATTAAGGTGAGCACTCTGACCTTTGGCTTTGTCGTTGTACTGTGTATACAGGATTTGCACATTTTTGAAATATGAATTTTCTATCTGAATAGTCTCCCTTAAAATCCAGGTCAAGTTTTTGCTCCAGTTCTTTTCACCCAATTTGTGTGGTGATTAAAATGACACTTTTTTGAATAGTGAACATATAACATGCTCATTTTGCAGCACAAACTAACAAAATGTAGGCTACATATTAAGAAAACTATGGGAGTGCTCTTGAGATGTGTTCACGTACTGAGGGCAACAATCAGTTCAACATGTGGAAACCTTTGAACCTGTGACCTGTCAACTTTCCTGGTTTTCTGACGTTAAACCATAGATGACAGCAGTGAAATCTGAGATCCTCGTTATAATTTTCCCTGTGTTACTGATCTGTCAATCTAGGAACTTTGTACTGTTCAAGTTCACGCTGAAGCATTTCAGTGAATACTGTTATTAGTTTATTCTTTTTAAAGCTGTATTCTGCCTCTCTATTAATAGACCTTAGGGTTAGGGGTACTAGTATGTGATCAATTAATGAAAAAATTAATGTTGAGTCGATGTGTAACGTCGCTAAAACAATGTCGGACTCCATATTTTTCTCTGGACCCCTACCCAATGTGACCAGTGATGACATGTTTAGCCGCATGTCGTCATTCAACCGCTGGCTGTCTAGGTGGTGCCCAGAAAATAACGTGGGCTTCATAGACAACTGGAAAACATTTTGGGGAAAACCTGGTCTGATTAGCAGAGACGGCATCCATCCCACTTTGGGTGGTGCGGCTCTCTTATCTAGAAATCTGGACGAGTTTGTTTTACAACCTA